AAACACAAATATGTTTTATTTATCTATTAAATTAAATGAATAAATGTATTTATCAAATTAAATAAATACGTACATTTATTTATTTAAAAATACGTAGTAGAATTAAAATAAAAAGTTAAATGGTAATAAAAATGAGTTTGCTTATTTCACTGTTATTTATATATCCATTGAGTAATGCTCTTATCTAAGTCGAATAGTTTCAGTTTCACTGTACCTGTGTGTAATCAGTCTATTCTAGTAGAATCTCAGTGCTGATGATGTCAGCTGATGAGCTCGTGTGTGTGTGTTAAAGGCCTATTAATAACAGCTGTTACTGTGTTTAGTGTAAAGCGGCTGCTCTGGTCTGGAAAGCCCCTGAGGACGAGCTCTGTCAGCGTTTGAAGAAGTCTTAAAGGTGACAATCTTCCAGCGGCGTCTGATACGGCCTGACCCGCGGGTCACATGACACACACACACACACACACATAACTCCGTAAAGATCATTGTGAAAGCAGAAGGAAACACCCCTGACGAGTTCCAGACGCTTCAGCAAACACCTCCACATCAGCTCGAGAATAGAATAACACATCTGGGGAAATATTGATGCTTTTACTGTGTATTTATGAATCTTGTTTTGTAAATGTGAATTGTGCTGTGCATTTATGAATTTTGTTTTTTAAATGTATTATTTTTGAGGCTGATCTGGCTCTATACCCGAGCGCCTGATCAGATCCGTGTGTGTGTGTGTGTGTCCATCTAACACTCAGATCCGTGTGTGTGTGTGTCCATCTTACACTCAGATCCGTGTGTGTGTGTGTGTGTGTCCATCTAACACTCAGATCCGTGTGTGTGTGTCCATCTTACACTCAGATCCGTGTGTGTGTGTGTGTCCATCTAACACTCAGATCCGTGTGTGTGTGTGTGTCCATCTTACACTCAGATCCGTGTGTGTGTGTGTGTCCATCTTACACTCAGATCCGTGTGTGTGTGTGTCCATCTTACACTCAGATCCGTGTGTGTGTGTGTGTCCATCTAACACTCAGATCCGTGTGTGTGTGTGTCCATCTAACACTCAGATCCGTGTGTGTGTGTCCATCTTACACTCAGATCCGTGTGTGTGTGTGTGTCCATCTTACACTCAGATCCGTGTGTGTGTGTGTGTCCATCTTACACTCAGATCCGTGTGTGTGTGTGTGTCCATCTTACACTCAGATCCGTGTGTGTGTGTGTCCATCTTACACTCAGATCCGTGTGTGTGTGTGTGTCCATCTAACACTCAGATCCGTGTGTGTGTGTGTCCATCTTACACTCAGATCCGTGTGTGTGTGTGTGTGTGTCCATCTTACACTCAGATCTGTGTGTGTGTGTGTGTGTGTCCATCTAACACTCAGATCCGTGTGTGTGTGTCCATCTTACACTCAGATCCGTGTGTGTGTGTGTGTCCATCTTACACTCAGATCCGTGTGTGTGTGTGTGTCCATCTTACACTCAGATCCGTGTGTGTGTGTGTGTCCATCTTACACTCAGATCCGTGTGTGTGTGTGTGTGTCCATCTTACACTCAGATCCGTGTGTGTGTGTGTCCATCTTACACTCAGATCCATGTGTGTGTGTCCATCTTACACTCAGATCCGTGTGTGTGTGTGTGTCCATCTTACACTCAGATCCGTGTGTGTGTGTGTGTCCATCTTACACTCAGATCCGTGTGTGTGTGTGTGTCCATCTTACACTCAGATCCGTGTGTGTGTGTCCATCTTACACTCAGATCCGTGTGTGTGTGTGTGTGTCCATATAACACTCAGATCCGTGTGTGTGTGTGTGTCCATCTTACACTCAGATCCGTGTGTGTGTGTGTGTCCATCTTACACTCAGATCCGTGTGTGTGTGTGTCCATCTTACACTCAGATCCGTGTGTGTGTGTGTGTCCATCTTACACTCAGATCCGTGTGTGTGTGTGTGTCCATCTAACACTCAAATCCGTGTGTGTGTGTGTGTGTGTCCATCTTACACTCAGATCCGTGTGTGTGTGTCCATCTTACACTCAGATCCGTGTGTGTGTGTGTGTCCATCTAACACTCAAATCCGTGTGTGTGTGTGTGTGTGTGTCCATCTAACACTCAAATCCGTGTGTGTGTGTGTGTGTGTGTCCATCTTACACTCAGATCCGTGTGTGTGTGTGTCCATCTTACACTCAGATCCGTGTGTGTGTGTGTGTCCATCTAACACTCAAATCCGTGTGTGTGTGTGTGTGTCCATCTTACACTCGGATCCGTGTGTGTGTGTCCATCTTACACTCAGATCCGTGTGTGTGTGTGTGTCCATCTTACACTCAGATCCGTGTGTGTGTGTGTGTCCATCTTACACTCAGATCCGTGTGTGTGTGTGTGTGTCCATCTTACACTCAGATCCGTGTGTGTGTGTGTGTGTGTCCATCTTACACTCAGATCATGTGTGTGTGTGTGTCCATCTTACACTCAGATCCGTGTGTGTGTGTGTGTCCATCTAACACTCAAATCCGTGTG